AATATACAAAAGGCTGTAGGATGTTCATAAATATAATTTTATGGTTATGTTATTTGTCTGTGCAAAATGCATCTACTGCACTTTAAAACTCAAAATGTCAAGTGATGTGATCATAACAGCACACCCAGCCATTCGGTTTATGTTTATGATACAAACAATTTTTCTTCCCATTGCTCACAGTAGACGAAAGGTACTTTTAATTTGTTTCATGAAGTTCTGAAACACTGGGACCCCTGTATAGCATAATAGAGTTCCATGAGTGTCACTTTGATCCTGTTCACTATACAGTGCCATCAGAAAGTATTCATACCCCTTGACTTTATTCCACATTTTGTTGTGTTACAGCCTGAATTCAAAATGGACTAAATATATTTTTTTCTCACCCATCTACACACAATACCCCATAATGACAAAGTAAAAACATGTTTTTAGAATTGTTTGTATATTTATTCAAAATGAAATACATACATATCTCATTTGCATAAGTATTCACACACTGAGTCAATACATGTTCGAATCACCTTTGGCAGTGATTACAGCTGTGAGTATTTCTGGGTAAGTCTCTAAGAGCTTTGCACACCTGGACTGTACAATATTTGCCCATTATTCTTTTCAAAATTCTTCAGGCTCTGTCAAATTGGTTGTTAATCATTGCTAGACAACCATTTTCAAGTCTTGCCATACATTTTCAAGCAGATTTATTTCAAAACTGTAACTCGGCCACTCAGGAACATTCACTGTCTTCTTGGTAAGCAACTCCATTGTAGATTTGGCCTTGTGTTTTAGGTTATTGTCCTACTGAAAGGTGAATTCATCTCCCAGTGTCTGGTGGAAAGCAGACAGAACTAGGATTTCCTCTAGGATTTTGCCTGTGGCTCCATTCCGTTTCTTTTTTTATCCTGAAAAACTCCTCAGTCCTTAACGATTACAAGCATACCCATAACATGATGCAGCCACCACTATGCTTGAAAATATGGAGTGGTACTCAGGAAGTGCTGTATTGGATTTGCCCCAAACATAAAACTTTGTATTCAAGACAAAAAGTTAATTGCTTTGTCACATTTTTTGCAGTATTACTTCAGTATTACTTTTCTGTACAGGCTTCCTTCTTTTCACTGTCAATTAGGTTAGTATTCTTGAGTAACTACAATGTTGTTTATCCATCTTCAGTTTTCTCCTATCACAGCCATTAAACAATGTAACCGTTTTAGTCACTGTTGACCTCATTGTGAAATCCCTGAACAGTTTCCTTCCTCTCTGGCAACTGAGTTAGGAAGGATGCCTGTATCTTTGTAGTGACTGGGTGTATCGATACACTATCCAAAGTGTATTTAATAACTTCACCATGCTCAACGGGTTATTCAATGTCTGATTTTTTAACCAATGGGTGCCCTTCTTTACGAGGCATTGGAAAACCTGGTCTTTGTGGTTGAATCTGTATTTGAAATTCACTGCTCGACTGAGGGATCTTACAGATAATTGGTATATGTGGGGTACAGAAAATAGGTAGTCATTTTTAAAAAAGTAAACACTATTTTTGCACACAGAGTGAGTCCATGTAACATATTATGTGACTTGTTAAGCACATATTTAGGCTTCCCACAACAAATGGGTTGAATACTTATAGACTCATGACATTTCAGCTTTTCATTTTTTATTAATTTGTTAAAAAAAATCGAAAAACATAATTCCACTTTGACATTATGGGGTGTTGTGTGTAGGGCCACTGACAAAAAAATCTTAACTTAATCAATTTTAAATTCAGGCTGTAACACAAAAAATTTGTAAAAAGTCAAGGGGTATGAATACTTTCTGAAGGCACTGTAGGGCAGGCGATCAAATACAGTAAAGCATTTGTTGTGTATGACTGTGGTTACATTTCTCATTGGTAAAGTCCATTGACCATCACCAGCCTCCCTTCAGAAAGGAAGCAGATGAGACGTTGGGGTTGGCTAAATACTGAATTCAATAAATGTAAAATACTAAGCAAGAACAAACTTGCATATTTTTCATGTGCACATTGAAGGTCCATTGACCAAACCAAACCATACAATTAGAATTCTTATTCTATATGGACCAAACCCTCATTGTATACCATGTATCAATCAATATTCTCTCATCTTTGTCTTGGTATTAATAAGCCATGGATTAATACACAGCAGTAACCAACCTTAACAATAAGATTGTAGTTATTAATTAGCTACATGTGGAGTGAATTCAACCACTTGATGGTGAGGGAACCGATCAATATTGAAATTCAAGACATGCCTATGCACCCAATTCTAGTTCATGCTGTTGAGAACTGTTTTTGAGTAAGATATTTTGGTACCATCTGTGTTTTGTACTTTCATGGAGTATTTAAACCATTGCAGAACATGGAGCATCTGCTTTGCTTATGCCAATTTGGATGATAGGCCACCTTTTATTCTGTGACATTCGCACCATGTAACATGTCTGCCCCCTTGTGTTACTTTTTGCATATTTCCAAAAAATTACTTTAATCTTTTAAAAACTTTATCCAATAGATGGCACTGCTGGTTAGGCTTGATGTCACAAAGCATTGGCTTTAGGCTAGCTAGACTATAGCAAAGATTGTCTATTATATTGAAAAGATAGTCAAGTGACCGCTCTAACAATGTCCTCAAAGATGGAAGGCAGGCAGGAGGCAAGATCAGGTGGGACCATTCTAGCAAATGAGAGGGCAGATACTGGTGTGACCAACAGGCCATAGAGATAGATAGAGGACTCATCTTTGTATCTGTGCCATTATAGCGTCTGTGACAGCATTAGCGGCGCCATTTAGGCTATCTCCATGTTAAAGTAGTCAATTTTCTTCTACTTTATTGGCTGATTGCTCCCAACTCATAGGAATCCCCACCCAGTTGACTACTTTAAAATGGTGGAAGCCCTAACTAGCAACGTCCATGCTAAAACGGGTTATTTTCATGATGAGTCCTCTATCTATCTCTATGACAACAGGCACAACTCCCATATAAAGTCGTTTTTTTCAAAGTTGCCAAAATTCCACGTGCATCTACTTATATCAGTGCATTTGTAACAACCTAACCATTACGAAACGTCTATTCGATCAAATAAGCCTCGCGTAGCAAATTAGCAATTACATTTTTTGGTTGACCAAATCGACACTCTCTGATTGACCTCCATACAAAAATTCCCCACTTCGTGAGCTTTTTTTCGTAGACAGATTTTGGGCAGAGTAAAACCTCTCTCTTCGCCTCTTCCTCTTTGACTGTATTGACACAGTGCTAGTAATGACTCAAACTCAACTTTAGTATTGTACTGTATACCGTATGACATCATACTGTTGCAGATTAATTGATCAAGCTGTCTGTCAAGCTTTTTAAAACGTATTTTATTTTGGACCATGGATTTTATAAGCAATAATGCCATTGCAATTCGTATAGATTTTGTTCGGCACTGTACAGTTGTTATCTGGTAGAGGACCAGGTAAACTCTTTCCTGACTTCCTCTACATTTGCTGCAAAATACCTTAATCAGACTGTGCATTACACCAGAGGGGGAGCACCTAAACACTCTTATATACAATGCAGTTAAAGTATGATGCTCTGTGTAACTAAGGGTTGGTTATGCAAGCTGGTGCAAACAATTGTCTATATAGAGTAGACATGAGGTTATGTGTAATTACACATATCCTTTTATATGCATTACATTTGCTAATAAACTCGAATGAATTGTGGGTAAACCCCTCACCCTAGAATTATTATTTGAGATTAATCAGTTATCTCCATGTACATTTGTTTGCAAATCCTTGAGTACAGTATGTGTAGCCTACCTACACTGTTGAGAGGATAGAGAGGCAGACCAGCAGCCATTCTAACCAATTGGACTATGAAGTATCAATTATATTCTATTGCATTCTATTCTATTCTATTCTATTCATGGCAATGCATAGGATTGTGGAAATACATTTCTCCCATAATACGACTAGGGTATGCAGGCCAAAGCCTACATTTTACGCATGAATCTAATTCAGGGTTTAGGTCAGATTCATGACTTCTCTCATTCCAAAGTAATTATTTATTATACGGCTGGCTGTCTGTCTCACAAGGGTCAGAAAATGATGCTCCCTCTGTGCTCACTGACGCTCGTCTGTGCACAGTAGGTGGGACCATGCATTTCAGTACGCTATTCGTCACGAACACGACCCGGAGAACGTAGCCTAATGGCGCTTCGCTCAGACACCACCTATTGTGTGTGAGATGTAACTACGTCTGAAGGTTGTGAATGAGAGATATGTGGAAAGTCCCTAACACTGGAAATCCCCTTTAGTCTGGGTTTTTTCTCCGTCTACATTAACTAAATTAAGTTGGGGGACGTGATCTATGCTTTGACAGTCTATACAGTGAACACACCAAAATAGAATTGATTGTGCAGAAGGCTGAATGGCGCTGTGTGGACTGCTGCGGTTAACCTGATTGAAGTGGCAGAGGACTACCCGGAGCATCCTTAGGCTTTGTTGGTAGTCTTAGTACCGACATATTACACAGGTAATATTCATTCATATTCTATATATTTCTCTATCAAGGATTGTAACTCACTTTCGTTTTAGCATTTGAAATCTATCTACTATTGGCTAACATTGAGAGGCCTTGGTCGTAGCATTGAGTTTCTGGGGACACAGACAGAGGTATGCGGGTTGGCATGGGCGCCATGGTTCTGACAGCCATTGTTTACGAAGACGTCACCCACAAGCAATTAAAAAAACATTGCCCAGTGGAATAAATTATTAATGTTACATTGTAACTATATTTATGACAATACTCGCGACGCAATGTTACAATGTTTCAACCGTTGCTGTCAGAGGAATTACGTAATCGAACGTCAGCAGACTCCTGTTATTGTGTTTTGTGTAAACCGCAGCGCTCACCATTGTGCCAACGCTTCAATGTCTGCCAATATCGAAAGAGCGACAGTCTCCTTATTACATGGATATTTAGAGGTTCTCCTACAATGACATTATGCGCCTTCAAGGTAGGCTATACTGTAATTGATGAAGGATGCTTGAATTGTTTTGTTGCTTGAATTGTTTTGTTCTATCTAAAAATGTATACGGTGCCCATAATATACAGTTACAGTATATATCTTATTTGATCACATTGTAGGTAGGTACCTCTCCATAAGGTCTTAACAGCTTATTGTCATATTATATGAAATGGGTACAGATATCTGACAGACTGTTCTACCGATGGGAGATGACTGTTGATTGATGAGCAATGTGTTATTCTTGAGGTTAAAACACATTACTTTCAAGTTCCTGTTTCAATGGTCCTCCATCTTGACTAATGAAAAGAACTGTAAGGGTTTTTAATAGTTCCAACCTGTTCAGTTCTTATGCATCATTGTCAGTATTACCGAAGCGTGACTTTTCTTTGATGGTGGGTGTGAGTGGGCCTTATGATTTCTACTAGCCACTGCCTAGAGCTGTCCTTTGGATTTGGGTCTGGAAATCACCATCAGTTTGTAGAAGGCGTCTGTCATGTGCCTCAGTCCCATTGGGGCGGCAGAGGCTGTGGGGAAATTCTAACTTGGAAAAGAACACAAAAGCCCTCTTGTTTTTCTTTATTCATTACCCACACTTTGTCTAGTATTAGAAGTGGCCCATATAGTCCAGTGATCAGAACCACGTGCTGCCAATGAAACCAACCAACAACTATTTATTTCTCTCCTCTTCAGTTCTGCATTGGTACACGTTACATCTGGTGAACACCATGTCCCAGGGACAGAATTTCCTGCCCAAGTTCCTCTTTGTGAGTAACCTGCTGAAAGCGGTCAAGATCCGGGAGCGGGTGCCCAACGATGTGGTGAAGCCGGCGGCCAGCGGAGGCCTGATGCACCACCTGCGGGGCATGCACCGCTACACCCTTGAGATGATCCGCATGAGCCAGTTCCCCCAGGCCTTCCAACAGGTCATCCAGGCGGCCATCTTGGACAGGGCCATGCAGAGCTCCCTAGAGCAGGAGAAGAAGCTCAACTGGTGCCGTGAGGTCAAGAAGATGGTGCCACTGAGAACCAATGGTAATGTATTCGTTTGGTTTGGGTTTCTGTTCCCCTTGTTGGTAGTAGGGGAGGGGTTATTTGTCAAAGGAGTTTGAAAGACCTTGACACTGAAGAGTAAGAGTTACTCATACTGTACTCAGTGTTTCCCCTAGGATTTCTTTCAGCAGCAGTGGCAGAGTATCTTGGGGGAGGGGGCTGCATTGCTACTAGCATTAGCACAATTACATGCTATCTGTTAACATAGACTTCCAGTCATTGAGCCAACAAATATCCATTTAAAAGTGGTGGGCCAATGCTGCTAAATGAATATAGGGGAAACATTGGTACTCACACATTATGGTAAATGACAATGGTGAGATTTGTTATCTTTTAGAATTACCATTAGCAGCTCTTGGTTTGACTGGTACCTAACATCAATCTGCAGATTTACAGTATTTGTTCAGCGTATCTACTGTAAATCATGACGTCTAGGGTAATTATTTGGGAGATCCCAAAGCAGAAATTCTATGGTGTCATACTGATCATTTCCCCTCCATTGTTCTAAAGACCATGTTGACTGAGTTTATTCTGTTGACGCATTCAAACTTTGTAGTGCTCAGTTTCCGTCTGTTTAGATTCATACCTTGCAGTGGAGGTTTGGGTATACCCCTTCTCTCAGTAAGTAGCTAAGTGAGTTGGACCTTTATTCACAAATCATACAGCAAACACCCCCACCTGTCTTGACTCACACATAGGTGTGTTACCATGTCAATCCTATAATTTCATTGAATCATTGAAAAGATGGAATGTTATTGTCAGGAGGAGATATAACCAGGTTATTAGGCTTGTTTATGTATTGTCTTATTGAGGGTAATATCTTATCACCTGTGGAATAGACATCTTGAACTTTTGGTAATTTAATGCTGTCATAACATAGTAACAGTACATGAAACATGAATCATAGGCTATTGGCTTTTCCCTACATGTTGAAACTACAGTATTTCCAGTAAAATGATAGTGATAGCAAAAGTTTGTGTTCCTGGAAATCCAATCCAGAAACAACCTTTGACATGATACATATTTCCTTCCTAATGAAAGGATAGAATTTTCTCATAGAAGTTTCTGGGGGGCCCAGCTAGGCCTTGATTTGGGAAATGGACGTATACAGTAGCCTCTCCTCTGAATGACACAGCAGCCATGACTTTCAGCAGAGGACTTTCAGACTGAGGAGGACCACTCTGTCTGTTGCTGGCTGGCTGCTGACTCACTGGAATGAATCCATTGCGTAAGGTGACCAGTGAATAAGAACAGGACAGGAGAGGCAAAGCAGGACATTGTGAGTCAGTGTCCGCACTCCATAATGTTTACTAATTTGTTTACATACACTTTTGAACTAACAAGTTTCAAGTTTTATTAGTCGTACGGGATACGCATGGTATACATCGTCCAACAAAATGCTTACTTGCAATTGAACTATGTAATTGAAAATCCGATCTCTTTCGTTACGAATGGGATTATAGTATAGAGTGTCTGACGTGGGTATTTCCCATATAGTAATCCCATGTCTGTCATGTGTTTTGTTTGTTCTTTTTTGTGTGATTCCCACTGTTGCCAAATAATGGATGGTCATTCTGTTGCTGATAGAGAATTCACAGTATTCTAACCGAGAATACTGAGAATACCACATCCTGATTTCAGCAAAAATCACAAATTTAATGTTTCACAGAATGGACAAACAAAATATAAATAAAAATGTTGATGTGTGCATCTATAGTAACCCTTAGGGTGAGTGAGTGTAAACCCCCAAAAAGCGGAAATTCTAAATATTGGCATTGTGGAGAATGAAGCAAATAAGTGGCATTATGGATGTTAAATGAAATGGACAAGCTTTTTGGGGAGACTGAACATGTATAGCAAAAGTCTGTGAGTTTGTATGTCTTAGGTCAAAACATGGATAGCCATTTCGAAGGAAAGGCTTGGTTGAACACAAAAACGATAATTTTGAAAAGATTGCCATTTCCAAAATTACTTTAGAAAAAAATAGCTACCATTATGGATGTTACACCCTCCATTATGAATGTTACGGAGTCTGAAATAAACATAAAAATGTTCGGTCATCTGGAACATTTCTAAGATTACAGCAGAAGGCATAGTAGCTTAGGACTATATCATTACAGCTAGCCTTAATAATATAGTGCATAGGCTGAGGCCTTACACCATATATATATATATATATATATATATATATATATATATATATATATATATATATATATATATATATATATATATATACAGTGGGGAGAACAAGTATTTGATACACTGCCGATTTTGTAGGTTTTCCTACTTACAAAGCATGTAGAGGTCTGTAATTTTGATCATAGGTACACTTCAACTGTGAGAGACGGAATCTAAAACAAAAATCCAGAAAATCACATTGTATGATTTTTAAGTAATTAATTTGCATTTTATTGCATGACATAAGTATTTGATCACCTACCAACCATTAAGAATTGCGGCTCTCACAGACCTGTTAGTTTTTCTTTAAGAAGCCCTCCTGTTCTCCACTCATTACCTGTATTAACTGCACCTGTTTGAACTCGTTACCTGTATAAAAGACACCTGTCCACACACTCAATCAAACAGACTCCAACCTCTCCACAATGGCCAAGACCAGAGAGCTGTGTAAGGACATCAGGGATAAACTGATGTATGTAGACCTGCACAAGGCTGGGATGGGCTACAGGACAATAGGCAAGCAGCTTGGTGAGAAGGCAACAACTGTTGGCGCAATTATTAGAAAATGGAAGAAGTTCAAGATGACGGTCAATCACCCTCGGTCTGGGGCTCCATGCAAGATCTCACCTCGTGGGGCATCAATGATCATGAGGAAGGTGAGGGATCAGCCCAGAACCACACGGCAGGACCTGGTCAATGACCTGAAGAGAGCTGGGACCACAGTCTCAAAGAAAACCATTAGTAACACACTACGCCATCATGGATTAAAATCCTGCAGCGCATGCAAGGTCCCCCTGCTCAAGCCAGCGCATGTCCAGGCATGTCTGAAGTTTGCCAATGACCATCTGGATGATCCAGAGGAGGAATGGGAGAAGGTCATGTGGTCTGATGAGACAAAAATAGAGCTTTTTGGTCTAAACTCCACTCGCCGTGTTTGGAGGAAGAAGAAGGATGAGTACAACCCCAAGAACACCATCCCAACCGTGAAGCATGGAGGTGGAAACATCATTCTTTAGGGATGCTTTTCTGCAAAGGGGACAGGACGACTGCACCGTATTGAGGGGAGGATGGATGGGGCCATGTATCGCGAGATCTTGGCCAACAACCTCCTTCCCTCAGTAAGAGCATTGAAGATGGGTCGGGGCTGGGTCTTCCAGCATGACAACGACCCGAAACACACAGCCAGGGCAACTAATGAGTGGCTCCGTAAGAAGCATTTCAAGGTCCTGGAGTGGCCTAGCCAGTCTCCAGACCTGAACCCAATAGAAAATCTTTGGAGGGAGCTGAAAGTCCGTATTGCCCAGCGACAGCCCCGAAACCTGAAGGATCTGGAGAAGTTCTGTATGGAGGAGTGGGCCAAAATCCCTGCTGCAGTGTGTGCAAACCTGGTCAAGACCTACAGGAAACGTATGATCTCTGTAATTGCAAACAAAGGTTTCTGTACCAAATATTAAGTTCTGCTTTTCTGATGTATCAAATACTTATGTCATGCAATAAAATGCAAATTAATTACTTAAAAATCATACAATGTGATTTTCTGGATTTTTGTTTTAATTTCCGTCTCTCACAGTTGAAGTGTACCTATGATACAAATTACAGACCTATACATGCTTTGTAAGTAGGAAAACCTGCAAAATCGGCAGTGTATCAAATACTTGTTCTCTCCACTGTATATATCAAAATTAACCTTTACCAACTGAATGTAGACACAAAAATGTCAAATTTTTTTGGTATTACACCTTTTTAAAAAAATATTATATTAAATTATGCAAAGGAGACAATATGCTGTTAGATGTACATATAACACCAATCCACTTTTCTGGAACCTGAATGAAGTAAGCATATTTTGGGGGGTTTCATTTGAATAACACTCCAGGACTAATCACAGATTGTGGATAAACACTCTTTTCATCTTTCTATCTAAAAAACACTACTGCCATGTATGAGAAATAATATCACATAATGTTCGAGATATCAATATTGCTTCTGTAAAAGCCTAATAATACATATCAGAACAAGCACACAAAATGTGGTGAATGCACATACTTTTGAAGCTAAGATATGATAAATTCATATCCGTCACATCCACAACCGTTATGGATGTTATGGCTATCATAACGCTGAAAAAGGATACTGATATATAAAAAGTTTGATGAAAGTTATCTTAACAGAGAAAGCTTGAAGATGATCCAATGTAAGGGGCATGGATGTTACATTGCAGAACAGATACAATTGCCATTTATCATTTAAAATACGCAATTGTGTCAGATCTCATTCCATTTCTGTCTGCAACAGTCAAAACTTTTCACATCACTGAATACACCCCAGGTATAGGTTTTACATATGAGGATTCTGAAAACACAACAAGCATAGTGTGTTTTTACCAGAAATATGTTTTCGGACAGTATGATTCAACCTTAAGATGGAACATGATCAAGATTTCCTGTTCTGTGCGGAGGTTTGTTGTTGCTCGGGTGGAATGTTCCCTTTACTGACGGAAAGCTTTCTCCTCATACATCAAACTATTCAAAGGATAGAAATAGAAAAACATTCTGTTTTTCATGATCCTTTTTGAAATTTTAGGCCCCTTTCCTTTTATCCCTACTAGGCCTATGTCCTTTCTCTACTGGCAGCAGGTATCTACAGACTGGGGTGCAGATATTACATAGTTATAATAGTGGTGTACATATTACATAGTGGTGCACATAGTAATACACATATTACAAATATATGATAGTGATGCACATATTACATAGGTATGATCCACCTCTACAGGCCCAGACTGGTGTTTTCAACACGGGGTCAGACTGGTGTTTTCAACATGGGGTCCACCTCTACAGGCCCAGACTGGTGTTTTCAACACGGGGTCAGACTGGTGTTTTCAACACGGGGTCAGACTGGTGTTTTCAACATGGGGTCCACCTCTACAGGGCCAGACTGGTGTTTTCAACACGGGGTCAGACTGGTGTTTTCAACATGGGGTCCACCTCTACAGGGCCAGACTGGTGTTTTCAACACGGGGTCAGACTGGTGTTTTCAACATGGGGTCCACCTCTACAGGGCCAGACTGGTGTTTTCAGCCTGGCGGAAGACAAAAAAGAGGAAGGCGTTCCATGTCAGTACTCAGAACTTCCTCTTTTAAGTAAAGAAATAGGCGTGTGTAAATATCCAAATCTATCATCCCACGCAAAAATGAGACCTCTACTGATCGTCGGCGAAGCTCGTAAAGAGAAAGCATTCCAACCGAGCCAAGCTCCACCCCTCTGGAAAGTCCAGGGTCTGATGTCTCTGGAGCAGCAGACAAGGGAAGAAAGAGTTGAATGGCAGCCTCACGGCACTTAGTCACAGAGAACCACACTCAGGGAAATTCCTCTCTTTAGTGTGGCAGGCAGCAGGGTATTTCAGACGAGCTAGGCTCACCGTACTCACTGATGTTTCACAATGACAAAAAGACCCGCCGCCCTGCAATAAGAGTCTGATTGTTTTTCTCCATACAGTTTACCTTTGATTTCTTAAACTTGCATACAGAACTCGTAATTTACCTGATTTACTCATTTAGCCCCTGTCTGTCACCCTCTCCAGTCATCACTGAAGGCTGTTCTTTCATTCTCTTATTTAGTTTAAGTTGTTTCAGTGTTAACGTGCCAAGGGACCATATGACTGTCTAATTAAACTACAGTTAGAGTTTAAACCAATACTGTATGTGTCTTTGGCCTAGTGGTCCAGTCTGTTTTAGCCATGTTGTATAGCATGATGGCAACAATAGAAGACTGATACATACAGTATGGGACCAGGCTAATGTGTCAAAGCCCACAGTACCTGCAGTAATTGCACAAAGTTTTTCTCTGGTCTCTCAAAGAGGATAAAAAATGGAACGCAGTAAAAGTACACCACAAAGCAACAATGCTGATAGAGTCTGTGATATCAAACTTTCTCAGGCCTTTTTATATATCTTCTGTAGGGTGATGAATGATGGTCAGATATAATGGATGCCTACAGAGCGCTGCAAGAGCTTCTCTGGAAATCCCCTCTCTCCTTTTACACTATTTTCTCCAAGCGATACAGGTCTTTTTCTGTGATGGATAGTTTTGCCGTTAATGACTCGCAGTCTTACCTGTGGTGATGTGAGGATGGGCAGTTTGTATTTCACATAAACACAGATTCATATTAAAGGACTGTAGATAAACTTAACATCCACTGTATGTGCCTGGCTCAAACCAGACGGAGCTCTACAAAGTTTGAATGCGTTAACATAATAAAGTCAGTCGACACATTTGTTGACACAGGCTTGTTGTTAATAAAGGATCTGATATCCTCCTAACCCTAGTCTAGGTCATGTTATTCTTGTTTACACGTGTTCTAGTGGGGATCCTGTGCCGTATGTAATATCTACCCCCATATCTCATGGCTGTATATGTGTGTTGCAGGAGATGGGAACTGTCTTCTCCATGCTGCCTCTCAGTACATGCTGGGGGTGCAGGACACAGACCTGGTCCTGAGGAAGGCCCTGCACTGCGTACTAAAGGAGACAGACACGGGCAACTTCAGAGCTCGTTTCCAGACTGAGCTGCTGCAGTCTCAGGGGTTCACCCAGACTGACCTGCGGTACAGCACCATGGTGAGGAACGGAGGCCCCGCTACAGCTAGGATGGTGTTACTATAGCAGACATGGGTGCATAATGATAACTGCATACTGTCAGATACTTAGAAAGTATAGTAAGATGCGTGCTTGATTTAGTTTGGAGTTTGCACTTTTGGGCCTATTCCATTGGTGCCATTGTACCAGGCAAGCTAAGTCAAGTGCAGCTGAATTATTTGAAAGTGTTTGACATATTGTATGTATTTGACCCAGGTCTGTTAGTAGTATCACCTATTAGTAGTGTCACCCAGGTCTGTTAGTAGTATCACCTATTAGTAGTGTCACCCAGGTCTGTTAGTAGTATCACCTATTAGTAGTGTCACCCAGGTCTGTTAGTAGTATCATGATGTTCAAAGCAGCCTAACTCAAAGTGTTTTTATTTCAGAATTGGGAGGAGGAATGGGAGAAAATCATCAAAATGGCATCGCCTGTGTCCAGCAGCAATGGGTTGCAGTTTGACTCCCTGGAAGACATACACATCTTTGTCCTCTCAAACATCCTCCGCAGGCCCATCATCGTCATCGCAGGTACAGCCTTTCTCAATGGAGCCTTTCATCACTCATTTCATCAGAAGTTCTGTTTACATCAGATGAGTATGCTCCATCTCTATTTGTTCCATTTTACATGTCAAACACAAGCACACATTTTTGAATGTGTTTGACAAATGCTTTTGACCCTGGTCTGGTGTATACAGTTTCTGTACCTATTTCAGTAGGTCTGTCTACTATAGCAGTAGAAGCAGTCAGTGTGCTGTATGGTGTCCAGTGACTAACTCATGGCTGTATCCTTACAGACCAGGTGCTACGCAGCATGAAATCCTGCTCCTCCTTCTCTCCCCTCAACGTGGGGGGCATCTACCTGCCTCTGCACTGGCTTCCAGGGGAGTGCTACAAGTACCCCATAGTGCTCGGCTACGACTCCCAGCACTTTGCCCCCCTCATCACCATCAAAGACAGTGGCCCGGGTGTGTACAGTAACTGTCATTGATAGATTACCCTGTTGAGGAGTGCTTGTAGAATGAGTGTGAATGTAACCTATCTACCGCATCCTACTAAATTTAGTCATTTCTTGTGCTGTTTTTGTGTACAGCGTCATTGGGTCCCATAAATGTGGTATATACCTAACACCTATGTATTATTAATGTATTATTATTATGGCTGTGTGCCCCAGAGATCCGAGCGGTGCCGCTGATCAACCCGGGCCGCGGGGGCTTCGAGGAGCTCAAGATGCACTTCCTGATGGAGAAGGAGCAGATGCAGAAGGAGAGGCTGCTGAAGGACTACCTGATGCTGATTGAGATCCCTGTCATCGGACTGGGCTATGACACCATACGCATCATCAACGCTGCCAGGTGGGTGGCACACTAGAGGCATGGGGAACTATAGAGATCAGGAAAAGCACTACAAATCTAGTTTTTAAAAAGTATGTTTGTGGCATAATAGTACTTCATTTGTATTTTCTTTATTTACCCTTTATTTAATCGGGTGGGTCAGTTGAGAACCAATTGTCAATATTGACGACCTGGCCAAGAGGTGTATGATTAGCCTATCAGAAGTTTTGAGTGTGTTCCATGTTGCCTCTCCCAGGCTGGATGAAGGGAACCTGCCTGAGGACATGAACCTGATGGAGGACTACCTCCAGTTGGTCAACCACGAGTATAAGCGCTGGCAGGAGGACAAGGACCAACTGTGGGCCGCCCAGCCCCATAGACCACACCCCTTCTCCGTGTCCCAGCTGTCCCTTATCGAGATCCGCTGTGCCACACCACGATGCACCTTCTACGTCTCCGTGGACACCCAGCCACACTGCCATGAGTGCTTTGAGAAACGCCAGGGCCAGCCCAACGGGAGGATAGAGGCAGTCCCTACGAAAGGCGGTGGTCAGGCGTGTGAGCCGGAGTGTAGAAGTAGAGTACGGACCAGTCCCCCTGGCTGCCGGGCGGTGTACTCCAGCCCGCGCTCCGTCCCTCCCCCACCCACGGCGCCCAGCCTCAGCCAGTACAGCAGGACCCACGCCATGAAGTGCAAGACGCCCGACTGCATTTTCACCCTCAGCATGGAGCTCGATGGTCTGTGTGAACGCTGCTTCAACACCCGGCAGAATGCACCTGCTGCTGCTGCTGCTGGCCCCTTGGGACACCCAGCAGGGAACCCCCAGGTCCTCCCCCTGCCTGCTCACCTCGGCTGGCCCCAGTGGGGCGCGGGACAGGAGCAGGAGACGGAGAGGTGTGATGTGTGCCACCAGAAGGTCTTCAGGATATTTAACGGACTGTGCCGCCCATGCCTCCTGAGGACTGCTACGGAGAGGGGCGAGGATCCCCAGCCGCCAGCAGCAGCCAGGATAGAGGCCTCCTCTGGGTCGTTATGGACCCAGCCCCAGCCAAGGGACTCTGAGCGCTCAGGCACCTCGGCTCTCAACGGCCACACGTCAGGCCGGCCCTGTAAGAGGTTGGGATGCCAGTTCTTCGGGACTCAACAGAATCTTGGATTCTGCACCATCTGTTACATGGACTATCAGACCAACCACCGTAAGTCTAATCAGCCGCTTGTTCATAGTCATTTTAACAAGAAATGCTTTTCTTATAATTTCCCAGCAAAACATAGATTTCATCAAAGGGAATCAGGCCACATCAAACCCACAGCTGTCATGTCTACTATGAATCTACTTATATCAGTATACTTACAAACAACATGAAACAAACAACATGTTTACACCAGACAGTACTGAGAAAGCTGCACATTTACTGGAATCTCAAGATGAGTTGATATTGTGTGTGGGCATATGTGAGTTTGACGTGTGGTTTTGCTGTGTTTATCTCCCCCAGTGGCGACCCTTCATCCTCCCCCTGCTCCAATCCAGAGTCATCACGTGTCGGAGGCAGGCTTCCAGAACGCTTCACGCTGTCGGGGCCCGGGCTGTGGGGCCATGGGCAAGGCCATGCTGGAGGGCTACTGCAACAAGTGCTACGTAAAGGAGCAGAGCTCCAGGCTTAGCCAGGCTGCTACCAGGGCTCCAGGCGCCCACTCCCCTCCACTTGTCATGGTGAGTGTCTCCCTCCCTCTCACACAAGGCCCAGTGGCTGTACAGCACATTTTGAATTGCAGATCATTTTTTACAGTGTTTCAGAGTGTAAATACAAGTCTTAGGTCAGATATAATGATTTGCTTCCACAAGTGACAATGTTCCTCTGTTTTTATCTCTCTCTGCAGCGAACTGCTAAACCAGAAAGAGACAGAACCAGACAGAACCAGACCCAGACCCAGGCGACATGCAGGCGAAGTGGCTGCAGTAACATCTCCCCCGGCTGCACAGACCTGTGTCCAGAGTGCCACACACGGAACACGCGGGGGCAGAGAGAGAGTCGCAGGGAGAGGGCAGGGGCACCTAAAGAGAAGACAAAGCAGCGCTGTAAAACCCAAGGCTGTGACCACTATGCTAACCAAGAGAAGCAAGGCTACTGTAACGAATGTGACCTCTTTAAGCAGATCTACTGGGGGTGAGCCCAAAGGTTTGGGGAAGATTAAAATGGCCGTGCCACGATGCTAGTCAATGCATCTCTGAAACTAGTGACCTTACGGCCAAAAGCCCATTTTAAAATGCGTTCATGAAGAGCGGGGGCAGTAGAAATGGCCGGCAGAATACCTCTTAGTGCAATTATATTATCTCACGTGTACAGGACGAGAGGTGAGGTATATGTGTTAGAAAATTGACAACATATGTACAGTATGTATCTAAGTACATACTGTATCATGCTGTACTACTGATTGTATCTTGAAAAAAGCGCAATGTGTAAACTGCTTAATAATACGGCCAAGGAATTATCTATCAAGCAGCTAGCTACCTACACAATAATGTGATAAACCACAGCTTTTGTTTAAGAACGTCATCGACCAAAGTTCTGAGAAGTGCAAAGTTGTGCCAAAGCCATCACGCACTGCCAAAATGAGTTTGTTTAGTCGAAATTTGGTTTAAACAGGAGTAGTTAGTCTCAAAAACTGCACCTACCTAGACAGCTAATGTACAGTATCTGAGCGTTTGCGAGTGGGCAGGACCCTTAAAAGTATGGTGCTACTTGTACAGAAATCAAACATGGAGGTTCTGTGACATGACAGAGAAAACAATAGTTAGAACTCAATAATATTCAACCTCTCCCACCGCCGCATAGATGTCTGCTGGCAGTACAGATGCTGTTGCCTTTTGTGGTTGTGTTCTTGTTTGCTGTTGACCACTTTTTGTATCTGTACTGTAGAAATACAAGTTACCGCTTGCCCTGAGAGTTGTACCGCGTTACAGTATGTTCTATATGTGGCCTCTGTTAATGCTGGGCAATTACCTTCACACAGACTCATAGTTAATGACTTACTTACAGAGAAAGATAAGAGCAGAGTTCAGTTGATCTCGTCCAAGGGGATTGCCAGTGAAGAAAGGAGTGTGTGTTTGAAAGGAAAGAGAACATAAGTGCAGGAGAAATCCCCGTAGAGCTCAATACCTCAGTCAGAGGAGGGAGGGAGGCGAAGAGAAGGTAAACAAATACACCTGTGGGAAAGAGCGACACACCCATTTGGCTTGGTTCACACCATGTAGCTGTGGCATGGCAGCCAGTGTTCTTAGCTACCATGAGCTGGTAGGCTCCAGCCTGCAGTAAAATACCTCTCCACCCGTAGAACCTGGCCTGCAGTACAGTATCTCTTCATCATAGGGGCTCTGCTGAAATCTGCTCTGCTCACACGATGCCTCACTCCAATACTCACACCTGTGTGATATGCGCAAGCAAACTGACATTCCTGTGTTTTCTTCTTTTATATCTATATATTTGAACTGACATTTTCATTCCTGCCAAAAAACGTGCCATTATCTACAAAGCATTCTCGTGACCTCTTAACCAACGCAATGTTGAAAAAAAAAATGTCTGTTCAATATGCATATTTGACATCTGTTAAAAATGTATTTTGTCGATTAGATTTATGGTAGCCTAGATAGAGATCTGCGCTTTAATCAGATTATAAACATAATATAATATAAGGGCAATTAGTTGTCAGTTCATTACGAGACCTCAAAGGGGTGCATGCTCTTTGGTTATGGGTCTGAACTCAGATCATCACATACTACTTGCACAATACTTAATAAGCTGCTCCGGAATTTAGGATGGTACTTTCCTTGACATGCATAGGGACATTCCAATGTTAGACATAAACACGCAAAGTTGTAACAAAACATGCAAAAGTTGTGAGATACATTTTTGTGTAACCTTTCAATAATAGGGTATTGTATGAAAAGCTTTGTTTTGTTTGTTAAGTATTTATTCATATCAAATATTATCTGTATTGTGCGTTTCAATACTTATTTATATGTTGTCCTGAAATGAATTATTTTTATTAAGAAAACCTGACAGTCTTGTTGCTTATTTCAACACTGTGTGTGTGCGAGTGCTTGCGTATCAACAAACTCTACAAAACATATTTCTACATTTCGTATCTGGGTGACTGGATGTTACCCAATGATTGGTTTTCAAAAATTAAGTTATTCTGTGTTCTCTGTTTTTACAGTGATTTTATTACTAGATGTGTGGGGTGTTTTCCAGTGGAGACATATGGGCCTTTGCCAAAGTGCAGTTAAACACTACCACATTGACTGTCTCGTATTTTTAGCTAAACCATCCACATTATTTTTCTAAAGTATCTTAGTTCTCACACACACATACATGTTTCACTTTAACAAAATTCTCAGGTAATTTTTTTCACTCTTTCTAGCAAAGTAATTCTGAAAGTAAACCTACACGTCTGACCTCTCAAGGCCTTGGCCCATAGTGCTTAGAAAGCAGGCAACCCCCTTCAGAATCCTCACAGTTGAGTCACAGCTGAAAGGAAAGTCTTCATCAGAAGCTACTGCTGCTGAGGGAGGGTTAGGGTGAGGGAGGGGATATTTGTTGTTGGGCAGAGGTGACATTTCAGGAGTGCGTGGGAGGGAAGAATAGCGTTAACGTGGGTACTAGGGGAGAATCTCAATTGCATACTCCTCGCGTCCTCTCTGCTCGCCTCCCTCCCCTCTGACCTTCTCCAATGGGTTTTGAGAAGGAGGCAAGGAGAGGATGCAAGGAGAATGCATTTGAAATTCTCCCTAGGTCAGCCAACATGGCAGGTGGGCAGTTGTGGTGATCTGAAAATAACTTTGCATGCAAAGTGGGTGGCTGTGTTATCACCTGGCAGTTACCCCGTTGTTGCACATGGTCAAGGGTTAAAACATAGGTTTATGGTAGGCCTATGTGAAATTATTCTAGCTCAGGACTCTCTGTTTCAATTCAGGAAGTGGAGCTGCGAGTTCTGTTTTTTCAAATCGGCAGTGGGTGTAACCAACGCTGACCGTGTTATCTAAAAGCAAGACAAACAAGGTGATCATGGTAACTATGTACACTATGCCTATGGGGTGAATAACCTTAAGTACCTGCTGTAAATGAGACTTACAGTTTCATTTTGCATCATGATCATGTATGAGTATGAAGTACAGTATGACTAGGGCCAGGAGTTTTGGGGCACTTTTTGAAGCACTGCTTTCACTGGTATTTCCAGCATTATTCACCAGTGTTGCTGAAGGTAGGAAATCCTAGGAAATGTTCTGTAATTGGCACAAGCTGTCTCCAATCAATCAATCAATGTCTGGCGTGTGGTTGAGGGATTGCCTAAGCCATGGGAAGCATAGCTCTGTGAATCTTAAATTGCATAAAACCTATTATTTGGCAGGGAATACTATTTGTAGATCAGAGGTGATCCTCTCCAACGGACTCCCAAACATGCTCAATGACATGTCTGGTGAGTATGCAGGCCATGGAAGAACTGGGACATTTTCAGCTTCCATTAATTGTGTACAGATCCTTGCGACATGGGGCTGTGCATTCTCATGCTAAAACATGAGGTGATGGCGCAGATGAATGGCACAACAATGGGCCTCAGGATCTTGTCACTGTATTTCTGTGCATTCAAATTGCCATCAATAAAATGCATTTGTGTTCGTTGTCCGTATCTTATGCCTGCCCATACCATAACCCCACCGCCACCATGGGGCACTCTGTTCACAACGTTGACATCAGCAAACCGCTCGCCCACAAGACGCCATACAAGCTGTCTGCCATCTGCCCAGTACAGTTGAAACCGGGATTCATCCGTGAAGAGCACACTGCTCCAGCATGCCAGTGGCCATCGAAGGTGATCATTTTCCCAATTAAGTCGGTTACGACGCCAAACTGCACTAAGGTCAAGACCCTGGTGAGGTCGATGAGCACGCAGATGAGCTTCCCTGACAGTTTGTGCAGAAATTCTTCGGTTGTGCAAACCCACAGTTTCATCAGCTGTCCGGGTGGCTGGTCTCAGACGATCCCACAGGTGAAGAAGCCGGATGTGGAGGTCCTGGGCTGGCGTGGTTACACATGGTCTGCGGTTGTGAGGCCAGTTGGCCGCACTGCCAAATTCTCTAAAACGACGTTGGAGGTGGCTTATGGTAGAGAAATGAACATTCAATTATCTGGCAACAGCTCTGGTGGACATTCCTGCAGTCAGTATGCCAATTGCACGCTCTCTCAACTTGAGACATCTGTGGCATTGTGCTGTGTGATAAAACTGCACATTTTAGAGTGGCCTTTTATTGTCCCCAGCACAAGGTGCACCTGTGTAATGATCATGCTATTTAATCGGCTTCTTGATATGCCACACCTGTCAGGTGGATGCATTATCTTGGCAAAGGAGAAATGCTCACTAACAGGGATGTAAACAAATTTGAGCACAAAATTTGAGCGAAAAAAGCATTTTGTGCATATGGAAAAATGTTGGGATCTTTTATTTCAGCTCATGAAACATGGGACCAATACTTTACATGTTGCGTTTATATTTTTGTTCAGTATATTTATGTTTTGAGATGGCAACTACATTTTGAAAATGCATTTACTTTATTGCAAAAGGCCACAGGGTTCTGTGTCCTGTGTACACTGTCTTGAAAATCGACAACATTGTTCCAAAAAATGCTTGTGCGCGATTGAGAAAAACAGTAACAAGTCTTCCATGATAAGAAAACAGCTTTGATAAGAGAAAAACATTCATATGAATGTGCTATCCCTCAAATGACGACTAAGAAATTAGGGCACGTCATTGGGTCACAGGAGCATCATGCCCATTGAAACTGAGAAGGAAATAGTTTCAAAACAGTTGCATTCTAAAGACAATACAATGTACACTGTAACACTAAAAGTATTAAAACACTTCAGTAAAAAAATATCGAAATTAACAGACGTGGGTCAGCCCATTGATTCTTATCGGCACTGACATTTTCAAAGAGCCAAACCAAAAGCTGCTCATATGTAAATGCGGCACGAGAAAATAAGTGGGGAACAGGTGTGATTTGCATGTTGGTTTAAATGTGAGTCCATCTACAGATTAAAACAGTGAGTTGACTAATTCTCTGCACATGAACCGCTGGATGGATCCCGTAAATCCGATCTCACTCCCTC